TCCGGTAATACAAATTTCTTGATTGGCCATTCTGATTCGTGCAGGTGAAGAAAGTCTGGCCCTGTCTGCCAAAGACTGTTCTTGTCAAGCTCGCTCGGATTCTTCCCCCGCGTTATCCAGTCAGCTATGTTGAGTTTCCCTTCAATCCAATGCCAATCACTTGGAGAAGTTCCTTCTTGAATCTCGCCAATTCGCACGGCTGCATAGGTGTTGAATCCGTACGAATCTTTCTGAATCATTGCTCTAACTATCTCCGAGTCCAAGAAAAAATATTCTTTCTCGAAAATGAAGCGAGATTCTTTCTTGATAAAAGCACTAAGCCTTTTCGAAAGCAACGCTCCGTTCAACTCCGTTCTAACGATTGTCGTCTTTCGAATTGGTGTGACCCTGCTCTTTGCTGCTAGAAGATTGGCACCAAAAGTCCCATTTTCAAGCTGCTATCTTACATACGCACATGTACCATATGCCTGGTCTGATCCATCACTGAACATCACGAGGGCTGGGTTGCCAACAGCACCGACTGGTTTCACGCACCTTCTAAACGTGACCTTTTCCATGTTGAAAAGTTCAATGAAAAATCGCAACCACTCTTCTCTTAACGAGGCGGGGATTGGATCGTCCCAGGTCAGGTCTTTCGATTCTCCTATCCACAATTTTCTCATAAGTATCTTTGCCCTCACGGTGAATGGGGTTGCGAGTCCAAGTGGATCGTATATTCCGTTAATCTGCGACAACACCATCCGTTTCGTTAGTATGGGCGGAATAAGCGCTGGAACTTGTTCTCGAGTGAGATTTGGTCCACTTCGTAGTTTCTTAATCTTTGGGGTAAAGTTAAGTTGCGTTTTGAAACAAAATTCGTCCCTATTTGAATCCCAGCGTACACCAAGAACTTTCTGTTCATCCCCTTCAGAGCATGCTGTCCCAGTATTTTGTATCTGCTTCTCGCATACCGACTTGCTTCCCAGTGATCTATTTGCGCTGTCATCGTTCACATTCTCTGATTTATAGATCCAATGCTTGATTTGGAATCCACCAACCTTGACCAAATCGTCAATTTGACCGGTTGTCTCTCGTGCTGTTACCATAGTCTCCACGCTATCTGCAATATCGTCAACGTAAGTGTTGTTGAGGATGGTATCTGATGCATTCGGAAGATCATCTTTTTGCATTTCCGCTGTTTTGCGTAGAGCGACTGTGGCGATATTTCCCGCAGGTTTGTCACCGAACGATACGGACGTCATGACGTATGTACTTGTCCCACTATCCTGCGACACGTCGCGCCAAAGAAATCTATGAGTGTGCTGATCAAGAACTGATATCTTTATGGCGTGGTACATCTTCCGTATATCGCCGACAAATGCGACTGGGCCTTCTCTAAATCTCACGAGTATGCCGAGCAGGTTGTTCATAAGATCTGGTCCCTTAGCCCAGTAGTTATTTAGTGAATGTCCCTGAAACTTCGCTGACGAATTGAAGACTATTCGACAAGGCGTGGATGTGGATTCTGGTTTAAGCACCTCGTGGTGGCTTAGGTAATATACTGGGCCGTCATAGTTTTCAATTTCTGCTTGTGTGAGTTTCCTTGCAACACCTCGCTGTACCATATCCTGAATCTGCTCCTTGTACGTTTCCAGAAGCGGTTTGTTCTTCTGCAACCTCTTTTCTGTAGACCCAAGCATTATCAAAGCTGCTTCTTTGTTGTTTGGCAGATCATCCGGGCTCCTAATCCAAGGGTATCGCGCAACCCAATGATCGCCTTCATGTGTCAATCCTTCCTCAATCAAATTTAATTCCCGCTCCTCCTTCAATGTGAAGCTTTTCCCACCAATTGGGCACCGTCCGCAGCGACAACTTCCACATCTCGGGGAACATTCAACGCCTAGAGATTCAGTATCGAAAAAATTTTCAATGTTTATCCTCGCAACATGGTGAACTGTAGCATGCTGGATAAGCTTAAGCGTGTTCTCTGCCATACTGGTGTGAGACCCACCCAGACAACGACCGAATCGGTTTTTCAACAGAAGTAAATGCCCAGAAGATTGCTCCCGCTCAGGATGATAACCTGCATACTCATAACCAATCAACACATCTATTTCCCCATTTGGTCGCTGAATCTCCTGCTTGTTTATGTTTTGGAACAGATGCATCACGCCGTTGAGGTTAATTCCCTCCATAGGGGAGGATATCCGATCAATTCCATAAACGCGGAAGTTGACAGTCTCCCCTGATTCATCGATTAAGGGAAGTTTGTATACTGATGATCTCATCTCTTCCTTGACACCGCCAACTTTGACAACCGACAGCCTAATTTCCTCTCCATCCAAACTTAGCTCACGTGCTTTGGCAAAGGTGATCAGACTAATGGTTGCACCACCGTCCCACAGCACATTTAAAGGAGCAGCATTGACAGCTGATTTTATTTTCATCACCTGCAGCAAACAAGTTCCCGATTCCTTTCCATCTGCGTCAGAATTTGGCCGGGAAAAATATGGTATATGGAATGCAACCCCTTGAACGTGGGCTACGTGTAAGGAATCATGGTGATATTTTGAACAATCATCACTGTTGCATTTCTTGCGTTGTCTGCAGTCAATAGAGCGGTGACCAATCTTGAGGCATGACCAGCAAGCTCGCTTTTCCTTTAACAACTGGACTTTCCCTTCAGGCGCCATCTCTTGATATACTCTACAATCGGCCGTATTATGCGTGCTCGAGCTGTGAACTAAGCACCTGGTCGTCTTTGTAGCTTCTTTGTCTTCAATAAACTTTCCATCACGGTCAATCATGTGGACACGACCTTTGCGAGCATGATCCCCTCCAGTCCTCAGCTCTGATAACTCGTATTCTATAATCTTTCTTTGTTCTTGAAGGAATTGGAGAAGATACGGGAACTTATTTTTCTGTTCTACTTTGCTGGTTGATCTGTTGACTTCTCTAGACCATTCCCGCTTAATGTCACGAGGCAATCGTTCTTCGATTAAACTGACTGTTCCACTATTGGATATTTCAGATTCCATATTGATTCTGGCTAGATCTTGATAGCCTTTCTCAACCGTATTTATAAGCTCTAGAAATGATTGATCATCTCCTTCCTGTAAGTGCTTTATATTCTTAATATCATATACGACAACATCGACTAATTTTGATGGCAGACCATATTTCTCATCTAGTCGCTTCCACATTTTCGTTACATCATCATCTAAGTTGTAGATGGCATCAAATGCTTCACCTTCGAGACATGATTTGAGGACATATGCAACTTTTCCAGATTCCAACTCTGGTAGGATTTGTTTTTCAAAATCTGATCGAAAACGAGGGTAGTCTCGAATATTTCCACTGAATTGGGGTAATTTCATTCTTTCTAGTTTCATTGTGCTTCCTCTCATTGCATTACCTTTGGTATCACTTTTCCGTTGAATAACGTCGCCGATTTTTTTAGATATTTGCGAATAAATCTTTTGGAGACTCGTGAACCAAGCTATCTCATCACCAGCTGTCTCAGCATCAAGTAGCAGAACATATTCACCATTAACCCTTTTACACTCTTCAAGTTGTCTTTTTAGCTCAGTTCTTGCCGTTTCAAGCATTGATGCTGCCGGATTGGGTTTGTCTATCTCTGCAGCTAATGCCTCTTCTAGATTTTCCACCTCTTGTCTAAATGCGATTTCTTCAACTTTGCGGGCTTGTTCAGCTCGAAAAATAGCTTTATCGCCCTCTTTCTTACGAATTTGATCTTCTTTCTCTTTAGAAATTTGTTCTTGTTGCCGTTCGATTTCCCTTTGATCCTCTTCTACGGTCTCAAAGTATGCCAACTTTTGCCGTAACACGTCATCATAAACTTTATCCATTTCATCAATCCATCCATCCTCTTGCTCAACATCATAAGTCGTCTTCGAATTTTCCAGCGATTCTATATACCCTTCGTGCTTCCGTTGGACGTCATCCCAGAGCTGCTTCAAATCTTTAAATCTACTCTCGATTAATGCAGCCGTATCTTTAGAGTTAATAGAGTCGACTAATTTCTTGACGTTCCGATTAAATACGCGTTTAGCCGAAGTTCGAGCCAATTTAGCCTCTGCTACCTCCAGAACCATGACTGTGCGCCAATTTTTGAACGGAATCACTTGAAATATTTTTCGTCAACTGGAAGCACAGACCGGAAGTCACTCGAAAATTCGCCGGATATCACTCACATGTTTACTAAAATTCCAAGTGTATATAGTTCGTTTAATATATTTCTTTAAAATGGTTTCAAACGTTGTTTACTCACTTTCTTGCTACTTTGATACAAGGACTTTGAATTTCCAGTGTTCGAAATGTTTCGTCAATTTAAATGAGGCACACAATATCGTAAACAGTATCGTAATAAGGTTTCGAACCTACGAACAAAATATGAATTTACATAAATAATTACCCCTAATCCCACATTACAACAGGCCAAATGACGCATTATTTAACGTACTTACACTATGGGCTCTCATAAGTCCAAGTCATGTATATATGTCTCGCCGGAGACAGCTTCCACAGTTCTCAACGGAGAATAAACCAGTCCAAACAGTTCTCAACGGAGATATAAATTTCAACCTACAAGCTAGCATGCATACCAAAACTAATTAATTATTCTAATGTTTTCTTTTGGCGGGAAAATCTATTCCCAGTCCCAAGTTCGCAATTACAAACATATCTGATCAAAATATACCAATGGCGTCAGCGAGTCATAGTAATATGGCGCAAACGCGTCCAAATTTTTTTCATATTGACTCTTTGACGTCATTTTGCTAATATGAATGTGAAAAGTCCATATTTGGTTATAGCCATTGAGTTGATATGACAATTTCACAGTTGGCTGTTAGCCAATCAAATATCAGGATTTTTTTAAAATAAATAATAATTTTAAATAACCATAACATCGAACGTCTAAAAACAATGAGTTAGGGAAAATACATTGTTGCAATATTTACGGAATTGTTCTGTATTGTATTTGTACACTGCATGGTACTATTCGTTGGTAATCTTATTTCAATCAAAAATGTGTTTCTCACGTTTGCATTATTTACCAACAGGTATTTTGGTGGACTACGCTTGTTACAAGCGACGTGCAAGAAATTTTATCAATATTGTTCAGAGCAAGGGTAATTACTCAAATCTGTTCTTTGATTTTATTTCTAGTACTCAATACACTGCACTCAATTGAACTTCAAAGGTATTGTCACATGTGTTGTAACTGACTCGTAGCTAGAAATGAATGAAATTGATAATTAGTCACAAACACTATAGTGTTTGCGGCAACTTTTATAAATGTATGTCACCATTACGAGTGCTTGCAGTAACTGCATGATTTGCATCCTACTTTATTATTTTATTCTGTCTAACGCCAGGCGATTTTACTCGTCTAGAGCATATGAATTGATTAATTTCATAAAGTGTTTAAGACATTCGAGTCCGGGTTGTATTGAGTATACAATCACAGAATCACTCGACTTCGATACCTGTGTACATTCAATATTCAATCACGGAATCACTTTGGTTCACTTCTATATCCCCGCATTTACGGAAGAGAAAATGAACTGATACTCCGGTACAGCACGCCCGCTCATGTTGTAACCATTACAAAAAAGACTACATTTTCTGCTTTTAGCATTGCCTTAGCCAAAAGAAACTTTACACTCAAGTATGACACAAATATTCCCCGTCAGGTGGTAAGTTGGGAATATCGTAAATTGCACGATGGCTCTCTGTAGACCACTTATAGTACACTACAGTGCACGTGGAGTTATTGCATGCACAGAATCTGGTATAATAATTTTTTAATTACTATTCTTTTCACAGGGATTGGCTGGAAGCAGGTACAGTGCATACAAAAAAATCACATTACGATCTTTTTTATATTAACATCGTCGTATATAGTATAATTATGCTAAAATTATTTCTTTTGTTTAATTAAAGTGCTATTGTAACAGCGACTTTGAGGTGTCTCATGGAATTTTTCAATTTAAATGAACTGGTACGTGAAACTTTTTGCACTCATCCTTAGTAGAATTCGTAGTTTTTTTTATTAGGCCTACCTTTTTTAACTCACTTGTATTATAAAGGATCTTGAAAAGCCAATTCAACCTCGATTTATATTGAATGTTGAGAAAGATGAACTATTCATTAACGCTGGATTACAGGATCGAGTAATTCAGGTATGTTGTGTTGTTGACTATTATGGAATAATACTATTAATAACAATCAAGATATGCTCTGAATACTCGGCCAAAGTTTTTGTTGCATCTTTTTGTTCATGTTTATGCAGATTTGTGCATGGCCATGGTGAAACAATGAATTTTTGGCATAATGACTAATGAGCAATCGCCGAATAAGTCAGCCTGATGTTAAAACATTATCATGCATGCAAGGATTTGTGCAGGGTGTAAAACCATATAGCTCATTATAAACACTTTGAAGTTAGTTTGCCGAGATTCCAGGCCATCATGTAGTAACTAAATTGCCTTGACTTTGGGCTTATACTGTACGTTTTCATGCAATCCTGGATATAGAGTCTTTCGTTTTTTCTCCCAATATTTTCAGTTTAAACGTACACAAATTCTCTTAACCTAAACTGTTAATATATCGCTTTGTCCCTTTTGTGAAAAAGGATAATGACCATTTACATATATTAAGCGGCGCCGGTATTGCATGCGAAAAGCAGCACCGTGCTAAACCGGCCGCTGCATGAGAAGAACGGCCTGAATATATATTCACTTCCCCACGCATGAATATAGGTTCGCAACGGACGGTATATAGTAACGGTTATTTTCCCGAAGCATTGCTATTTTTATTTCCCGTGAAACACGAAATGGCGATTTTATTTTTCTCGAATCGTGATTACTTAATTGATTCTTGCATGAAATGCATGTGAATTCCTTTATTTACTTTGCGCAAAACGAGATTTAAACAATATACCTATGCAGTTCTGATTTTGGTTTACAAAATTTCTTAACATTCTTAATTAATTTCATGTCAGGTTTACGAAGGTCTTGTTTATATGGACTTTCACAAAGATTTTATTGAGAAGCAAGGATACGGTAAAGATTAAAGAATTAATATTTTTTCGTCATGCGTGTCATAATATTAAGTCATGCGTATGATTTCAACAAATAATAACGTGCAGCCTAGCTGCCATCTTGAAATTAAACTCGATTACACTCGATGTACAGTAAGCTTTGCCTTACTTTTCGTTATAAGCCTCCCTAAAAATTGATATTTTAAGCTTTTAAAAATTTCAATCCAATTGAGTAGCAACGCAGCATTTTTAGAAGTCTTCTGCTAGATTCAGTCAACGGGGATAAGTTTTATTACAGTGCATATGAAATTGTTTATAGGAAAACGTCTTGTCATATAGCAAGCTAGGTTAATATATGAAAATTTGGAATTACCCAGTATATTCTTCTCTACAGGAAACTACATCCATTTATCTGTTGATCATATGCCAAAATTATGGCTAGCTTATGTCACGGATCCTAGTGACTCAGGTTAGAATAAACAGTTCTTTTTATCTTGCTCCATATATCTTGGACCATACTGCTCGAAGATAAGTTTGTTATTGTAGTACAGGTATGTGTGCATGAAGACATGCATGTGTGAGCATGTCTTCCAATTCCAAGTGTCCCACTTTCTAGACAAAAAACAATGGAAAAATATTATCCTAAAACGTAGTGCCCCCCCCCCAAATTTACATTGCTGCCTACGCCCTAAAATTATCGAGCTAGTGCCAAGGGCAGCCTAGTTCCCGCCCTTCGCTTCCGCGATGCTAGTTGCTCGGGAGAGCCTGGGACTAGACTATGTCGAGGGCGTATTGGCCATTTCATGCATTTTGAGGACTAAGATTTTTCAGAATAGAGCGAGTTATAAGATGTAAATTTGTATATTTGCGATTGATGCTTATTCAGTTTATCTTTTTAATGAAATGTAAAGCTCTTTGGGAGCCGAAACCCATTCTGCCCCCAACCCCTCCCTTGTATAATTCGGGAACGAAACACGTTCCTGTATAGTTTCGTGATCATGACGACCCAGTAGATGAAGAGTTAATACTGTAAGTGCAAAACTGAAATGAATAGCTTTGTAGAGCTTATACAGTATTTTAAGTCTGACATTTGTATTGAATTAAAACTAAATTCTGCGTCTAATTTTCACAATAGGAAAAATTCACAGCAATGTTAGACAGAGATGGAATCAAGGTAATAGCGATTTGATGGTTTTCGCAATTCTTATGTATATGCTTGCATGATGTATAATTTTATGTGCTGTTTTTAATTTATTTTTTGCTCTGTATTTATATAACTATTCATTTAACATAAATTTGTGGGGATGTTATATGATAAGGATTTTTTATATCACATGCAACTTCACAAGACATGCTGTGCCGTTATAATTGATCACAAAAACACTGTTCTTCATGGAAAGTATCATTACTCATTAGCCAACAAAACATTTAGTTTTTTTATGACTTTGGAGTATCAAATGCGATTTTAAATCTTACCAGGAATGGATCCAGTAATTAAGGTGACAATACGACGAAGCGAAGCCTGTATTGTTCAACAAGTGAAAATAGACGTTCCAAAATAATCGCTACAACACGTTTTTTATTCTTGTTTTTTTTTCAATCCTGGGTTTGAGTTCCCGTCTCCGGTAATGAATGATTGTATCGATCATTACCTTCCTCTTATCGCGGGGACTTTGATTTCCTTAGCTTACAAAGACTGTCTATAAGCATATTGTCTTGTGTATCAACCTTGATATTTACTTTTCAGGTGATAAAGAAGTCGTTGCAGCCATGAAGGAATTTGGTGATTACACCGATCAAGCGAGGTTGGTCAAATCGAGCCCGTCATGCAGTATTCATCTATATGATTCATTATACATATACTTATATATCCAGGTAGTGCACTTTTCACAGCGCCGCGTGATTTCAAAACGGTGTATCAGTGGTCAGCGAATACTCCAAATAACTAGCATATTTAACGTTTAGTCGGTCTTACATGTGTATAATGCATATTATGCAATTCATGAATTGATATAATTTAAACTTTTTCACATATTTAGGGATGCTCTTGAGAAGATGGATATAACACGGTAATGCACCTATACAACAAAATATACTTATTAATAATAAAAAAATGTTTTTAGATATAACAGATACAGAATAAGCATTTGGTAAAGAAACATATGGTTTCAATTTGTCACACGTGCTCTAAAAATTGTGAATCCGCCATGTTAAATTTGACCACGACTACACCCTTTCCTTGCGAAACTACAACCGAATTCCTTGCGAAAGAAGTCGTGCTAAAAATCTCTAAAATTCACCAATTTGACGAGATCGTAGTTATTCATAATCACCCAGGCACGGAGAAACCTAATTCTAATGACACATGTTCTGTAAATTCGTACTATACCTAATTTTATCTCCTAATTTAAATGTGTACACAATGTGCAACCACATTTTTTAATATGTCTGAATGAACTGAATCAACTGTATATACGTTTAAAGTTTTACAGGCAGTTTAATGATGTTTTCGTATTTATAACGGTATTTTCATTTATATTATACAGCCTTGCAGACATTATGAACAAGAATTTTGATCTAAGAAGGTATCTCTATATTCCCCTTTTTCCTTTTAATTGCTAATTCAGAGTCCCAACAGCATGTTATTTGATTCTGATTTTTGCAGGAAAATCTACGGTGATGCTGCTTTGGGAGAATCTAACCTGCGAATGATAGAAATTGCTCGTCAGGTAAATGCTACAATAACGATAGTAACTTTGTATGATATTTGGTGAGCATAAAAGGTCACTATATGGATTAGCGTACTCGACTAAAAACTAAAACATCCGTAGAATCCAAATTTCAGTATATATCTGGGGCCGGTTGTATAAAACTCTTAATCACTTTTTTTATCACTATTTCGTAGTTAAATAGTGATTACACTCTCAAATAGGCACTTCTTATTGGATGACGTTTGCACTTAATCATAGTTAACTTTAATCATTTTTTTATACAACCAGCCCCAGGCCATCTGGGTCCAGGATTCCAGGACAGGATGCATGGTTATATTTTCCACGTGAATAAAAATGGCGGCCGTTTTAAGAACATTTTATGCATTAGATCGATTATTTGAGAGGCATAGGCTGTGTTTATGAAAATGGAGGATTTTCTTCCATCTTCGTAAACCATGCAATTAAGGACTCTTCACGTGCTTTAGTTGGTCCTTCACGTGCACACGTAAAAACGCACAAGTTGTAACAAACCTGCAGCATGGGATTTGTAGCAATGTTGTTCCAACAACTTGTCATCAGAATGTGTTCGCACTGCTTGTTCCCAGCTTGTTGACAACTTGCTATAAGGTTATTGAGCTCAACAGGCTTGTTACATTAAGTTGCTCCAACAACGTGTTGACACAAGTTGTGACAATTACCTTGTAGCAACTTGTAATAACAGATTTTTACATGTGTATATATAGGACCCTACCGTATACGTGCTTTAATAATTGACCTAACTGAACATGTAATGTATACCTATAACTGAACATTTTAAAATATAACACTTTTTCGTATAATAGGAACAGTTTAATTACCTTCCACAAATCTATTGGTTTAATTTGGAATAATCGCCATTTATTAAATATAGTTTAAATAAAAAGAATTTTTCGTCCAAATACTGTTTCGCTGCGCTCACTTTGTAGTATCCTCTATATATGTATGTAAACATATTAAACAGTAAATATGAGCTGTGTGCGTTCACCATTTGGGTTTATTTTTCCCAATCAATTTCCCCTTAGTCTGGATCAGCTGTAAAATTTCCTGGGAGTGGAGGAGCTGTAATTGGCTTATGTCTTGATGAACAACATAAGGTATTGTAATTTCATTGTTTTGAACTTTAAGTTAAATTTCTTAGTGTGCGGGACTAGGTTTATATTTAATTATATTTCTAAAGCACTGAGTACGTGGACAAATATTTGACTTGTTGGGATATATTCCTTAGCAAACGCTCGGTTATCAGCTAGTTTTTGCGGCATACTTTGAACGTGCATGACCGCGTAGTAAGCCAACGGTAAAAGTGTTTCGAGTTTATTGAGTGCATGACTTAAAAGCTTATTATTACTTTTCAATTATATGAGTAATACAGGGGGGGGGGGGTTGGTGTAACAAAAAGGGCAAAACACAAAACTAGTTATCCCAGTCTTACCTTCTTCTAGAGGCACTTTCTAAACGAGGGTCGATTTAATATCTGTTTAATTAAGATGATCTAGTAAGAAAGAACTGTTACAATTGTAATAAGTGTTACACTGTAAAAAACAGATTGGTTAAAATAACCAATTTGGATTGTTGTCTCGGGTGCACTTATTTGACCAATATTTTATTGGTTAAAACAACGGCAAAAATTGTGTTATTTTAACGTTGTTTTGAGCAAATTATATTGGTCGAAAGAAAATGCATCTGAGACAACCAATTCAACACCAGTTTGTTTCATATGTGAAATATACTGAATCTATATGACGTCATAGGCAAGGTAATTAATCATCTAAAACCAAAATGAATTAGAGATAAGAGTAAGCGTGTGAACAAAAGCATTTGAATTTTGCACCATAAATTAAACCATCTTCCTATCTAAAAAAATATAGGATGACCTTAAGAAGGCGTTCCAGGCTGAAGGATTCGTGTTTTGTGATATTATTCCATATCCTGAAAGTTGATGTGCTAAAAAACTTTTCCTCCAGCGTCACTGAAAGTCAAGGTATAATTGTCATCCTACAACCTTGAAGACAACCGAAGACTGAGGACTAGTCAATTCGCTGCCCTCAGACGATGATGATCTATACCCTTTTGGCCTCTCTCATGCACACATCAGGGGAGCATTTGAAATTATTCGATATATTGAAAAGATTCTATTTCTACAATCAACTTTGCCACATTGATAATTGTATAAGGTGGCTCGATACAGTTTTCAAAACTTCAGGTTGTAATAGTTTGAAAGTTTTGAACGTCGTATTTTTAGGTTTTATGCCAGCAGGTATCATGATGTTCATCTATTTTGACGTTTCTTCTCTCAATTTATGTCAGTGTTGGTAACACATAGTTCGTTGCTATGCAACACATGAGTACGAACTTCACTCTAAAATAGCTTATTGCTAATTTGTGCTGTCGGAAGAGAGGCACGGTGATCCCCAATTTTTTTCGAGGACTATGTTACTTACAACATGGACTAACAATAGCAAAATATTAAAAAACTCTGTAATGCCATTTTTTTGGCAGTAAAATAATACAGTGTGCAAAATTTCAACATAGGTCACCGCACGAAATAATGAAATATTTATCATTTATAGACCGGGAGGCGAGGGGGATTCGGCGGAATATTATATTACCCAAAGTGATGATATTTCCAGAGAGGCTTTGCCCCGAGGGAAATATCATCACTGATGTTAATATTTCGACGAATCCCCCGAGCGGAGGGTCTATAAATGATATATTATACCGAAAGTTAAAGAACCCACCAAGTTCACAACAAACATTAAAACTTGAAGCGAATACAATTTTTAATTTCTTATGCATACGTTAGTTTTTGACGTTTTCTCTTTAAAATATTTGAGCATGTATCCTTTGGATCATTGAAGGTAACATACGTCTTTAAAATTTTTGGTTAACTTAAATCAATAAATTAATCTTCTGTATGAAATTACAAACAACAGCTCGCGAACGCCATAATTGTTTCGGAACGTGGTGTCCACGCGTGAGCGTGAGATACTATAATATCCCACGGTGAGTATCTCACGCTGCATTGCGAAATCATGAATTTGAGTGAAATACCGTAAAAATCACATTATCACGTGGTACAAATGTTGTCTTTTGATTGGACAATTTGAATTTGAGGTATAATATTTAACAATTATTCGCCGAAGGCGAGGTGATTATCGGGGAATATTTACCGAGACGAAGTCGAGGTGAATATTCCCCGATGATCACCGACCTGAGACGAATAATTGTTTTAGTATTTTTACTCAAGTCTTTTGTGTTTTTTGGGACTGAATTTACTTAATTTCGCTTATTTCTTTATCAGTAACTTCCACACAACGGCTAGCCGCCATTTTGCAAATTTCGGGTTTTTTATGTTTACCTGTAGGTGAATATTTAACAATTATTCGCCGAAGGCGAGGTGATTATCGGTGAATAAAAACCGAGACGAAGTCGAGGTTTTTATTCACGATAATCACCGAGCCTGAGGTGAATAATTGTTTTAGTATAATTTCATAGGTGATTATTTGGAAAAAAATAAGAAAATACACATTTCTTCGTCATTTAATTGACAAAAAGGCTTCGGCCGCCATTTTGAAAATCGCTTAGGTGATTATCGCGTAATAATCACCTCAACGGCAACCAATCAGCGTGGAGAATTTTCAATAATCACCTATGTAATTATACTAAAACAGCTTAATACGTCAAATTTGACCGATTCACTTGTAGGGTTTGTTATATTCACTTGTGCAAAATACTAAAGCACAATGTTTGTCAAAATTTGGCATTTCTAATGACGTCAGGAATTGACGTGCAATGCGTAATGAGTGAACACGTACATTGGTGCGAAGTGACGTGAGCAATTCGTCACGTCAGGTCATATATATGTAAGTCATTCCGTTAATATTCCAGGAGACACGAATGCATGGCCACGCGATTTGTTCATATAGCATAACGTTTTGTTTTTGCGATTCGTGTATAACGGTTTGTGTGTATTAATATATCGAGCCACCTTAAACGTACGAAGAGAGAAATTAGATTTGGAGTTCAACATTTATGTGAAGTTTCAAAAAATGTATCAATGACAATAGAAATACATTTGTGTGGGTTAATAGTAACTTAAAATTAATATAATTACGAAATATCACAGTTTTCCTCTTATTGATTGATATGGCAAATTTGGTTTTAGAACAGAATTGTCCCGCAGGTGCGAGAAAGCAGTAATAAATATGGACGTCCTTTGGGCAGCGAATTCTCTGGAATAAACATGAGTAGATCATTTCCGAATTAATATCAGGATTGTGGGTATCTATACTCGATATAACTAATTGTAGAAGGATTTGGAAGATGGAAATTTCGAATGTGAATTTTATACATTTATTTAGAGGCAGGAATCGAACATGCGGTCCTGCGATTCCGGTGCAGCCCGGCACCTGAGCTACAGAGATCAGCATAACCTGGCAAAATCGATTGTCTTGTACAGCACTTGTACTACTATACAATACAAAGAAGCACAAATTTAATGTTAAAAAACAATGTATGTCTACACTCGCGTGGTACATCTATTGACATATGTTGAAAACGTAATACAATAGGGGACCCCCCCCCCCCCTGAAAGCCTGTAAATTATTATAATGATACTGAATAACTGGAACAAAATGTAACCACAATTTTTCAACCGTGAAAGCATTGGTTGATTATAATTCAAGTTATGTATTGCATGAAATTTAAAAAAAAAAGTTTAAAGAATTATATTGCCAGGAGCAAAAAAGGTCATGGTAATTAATATGTGTCTAATATGTGTGCAACCTGAATCGTCCACCACTGACGTAATATTAGCAGCAGTTTAATATGGCTAACAACGCTAAAAGTTGTAGATAATGCAAAAGACCTTGGCGTAAACATTACTTCTAAATTATCGTGGAGTTTGCATGTAAATCAATGTTTTTTTTAAACGATCTGTAGGACCGAAAAATCATCAACTGTTTTCCAAACTCTACAAAAGCCTTGTGCGTCCCATCTTAGAGTATTGTTCTCCAGTCTGGTCCCCTCACGTGAAGAAGGACATTAATGCACTGGAAAAGGTGCAGAGAAGAGCATCCAGGTGCGCCTTAAGAAGTAAAGGAGGACATGAAATGTCTTACGAAGAACGTTCTTCTATTTCGTTCTTCTAATGAAGAACGAAATTCTTCAGTGGCCTACTCTAGAAAAGAGAAGGGAATTTCTATAATTACAAGACAGTACACGGAATAAATGGTTTAGAACCATCCAAGTATTTCACATTTGCTAGCGATTACAGGCATTTAAGATCAAACCATTGCTATAAACTGAAGACAGTATTAGTTCCTATTAGACAGTATTAGTTCCTACGTATAGTTCCTATTTGGAATAGCCTGCCAGATCGAACATGTTGCAGAGGCAGAAAGTTTAATAGCGTTCAAAGGAAGATTAAGAACATACTTAATGGATTAGATATACCAAGTGACTATACTTTTATATATAGATTCTATTTTTCTCCCGTATGTAATTGTTAATTTTGGAGATAACTTAGGGATAACCTCATCTCCATTTCACATGGTTATTATGTATGGGAATAAATTATTATTATTATTATGGCTGTTCGCAATTATCACAGACAGTGTTTCCATTTTTAAAATCGAAATCTCGTTCAAATGTCTCTCAACAAGCCTTCCAAACCAGTATATACTGATAATATCGGTACAATTTTCACCTTTTTAGAGATATCTTTGACGAGAAACTTGTAGTCTGCCATCTTGTTTTTATATGGGTTTTGATGACGTCAAAAAAGGGGTATTCCTGTTAGAATTACTATAAGGAGTTTTTTTTGACATATTGTGAATCAATTGTAAATTGAAAAAGACCTAAAAAATTGATTTTCATGTCCATTATGAAACTGTGGTTGGCAAAATAAAACTTTCTCTGTACCTCCAGTTGTGACATGCATGCATATTGAACTATGAACCAAGATTGGCAGACGTACAAGCTGTTTTTGGTTGAAATATTTTGAGAACCAATAGGCAATAATTATAAATTATGATATAAATGTTACATTAAGTTGTAAAGGCCCCCATATGTAACTTTAATTCTTTCAAATTTTTGTATAGGCCCTATCAACAGCAAAACGCGGCTGCAATTTCAGGCTTCTCACAGGGGCGGCGGAACGGGGGGGGGGCAATGGCAAGTGAAAAAAGTGCCCTTTTTCTGGGCTAAAGTGCCCCATAAAAAGTATTTTTTGAATGAATGCCCTCTTTTGCTGGAAAGAAAGTGCCCTTTTTGCAGTAGTATAAAAGACTCTGTAAAGGCCATTTCCAACGTTATAAAGACTCCATATTTTCAAAAATTTTCGTTCGGCTTGTGAACGACATTAAATTGTTTGATTTTGGTCATATACAAAAGTGCTCCTTTTGGCCAATGCCCTTCCACTAGCTTTCGAAATGTTTCCGTGGCCTCTGGTTACTCATGTACATCTTCCACAATACTGTGGGGAGTGTGTTAGCTACATGTCCACTTATTGTCAATTGCAATTCAGGCTCTTCTAAAGAGAAATTGCACGTTTTCCAATAAAAGCCGGCACCCTGTGAATTTCACTGCCTATAATTTTCAGAGTGTTGTTTTAGATTCATTCAAATTCGATGAAAAATTGGAAAGGGGGTGAAAATGTACAGTTCTAAATCCATTTGTGCCAAGTGCTAAAGCCACATATCATCGATCATCAGCAGACAGTGTTGCGTATCTTTCCCGCATCCATACTCAACCCCCCCCCCCCCTTCCCAAAAAAAATTGTTCATGAGTAATTTCAGATAAATTTAGAGATGACTTGAGCTGATTTTCAGGTAAATTATAGCATAGGAGCAATAACAGGTAAATGACTAAATGTGACGAAGGCTGATTTACACTACACAACTTTTGCCTAAACCTGTTGCATGTAACTTCAGTTGTACTGTGTAGATCAAGCACACAACTAGCCAGCGTGAGTTGTGTGCTTGATTTACACAGTACAACTCAAGTTGTAAGCAAGATTGCATGTGACATTTTTAGGTAAACATTGTGTAGTGTTCCATGTGAGCAATCTTCATGAAGCTGAAAGGTTTGGATATGACAAAATCTCGAAAACAACTCTCCAATATGGCTGGAAATGCCATTTCTGAGGATCTAAAGTTTTCCTGAAGCCCCCGGTGGGCTCTACCTTTTGCACCTCAGAGCTGCCTAGTTCTCTAAACAGTCTCCTACTCCACATTCTATTGGGAAGCCTGAGAACCTCTAGGGGGAGGTGGGAAGCAAGCATAGTACAATGAACTCTGCACACAAACATATAGACTTGATAGATAGAGTACTATGACTTGGAAATACTAAACCATAGCAAAATGACTTTCCCATGTCGGTAGTGCATTGCCCAGGCAACTACCAAAATGCTTAGCTACATGTTTGTATTGCAAGGACTATGGTTGTCATGACAGTTGCACCAACAAAGGGTGATATTTTAATGGGCTCCTTGGTAGACCAGACAACCACAAGATTAAATACTTAATTTAATATCATTAATATATATGTATGTTGTGATATTGATCTTGCATAACGTCTCTAAACAGCTACAAACATATTTTAAAATGACATGAAGTCCAATAAATATGTCTGACTATGAGCAAATGTCCAAGCTGAAATGTTTGGTAAGCAGAGCAATATTTGACAAAGTTCTTAAATTCTTGATAAACTAAAACATTGATTCTTATGCCAGCGAACAAGCGTGAGCTAAATATTAAAAACAAGCTATTCAATAACAATTTGAAAGCAATTATATGTACAGTACAAAACTACAAATAACATTGACTTCACAATATTTCTGATCCAACCAAATAGTTCACCGTAATGTCTGAATATCCTTCTTCAATGAGTTGCATTATAAATAAGGACTGCCAGCACAACAAAGGCGACAAATAACGCGGGTACGGCGTATTTCAATCCAAGTTGTTGTCCTAGCAAATTATCTCTCCTTCTTTCACGTTTATCCCTCTTTGATTCCTTCGTAGGTTTACCCTTTAGTTGTCTCATCTTTACAGGAGATTGTTTTGATTTACACAAACGAAGTAAACAGTGCCAAACTAACTTTGCGATCAGAAGTATAGCAGGTTTATTTATCTTTATGTTGCTTCTTTATTTATAAAAAAAATTACACTGTAAATACCAGTAATACACGTACAACATCAACATTGGTCGACATTTTCTTTTGACGACAAATTCCGAGAGTTTCCGATGCGAACATATAACTTCACGGGGGTGGGTTTTACCTGCGCTCGCTAACCTGAAGTTCAGGTCCTAATCTGTGATTAGGGCCTGAACTTCAGGTTAGCAAGTGGCTGGTTGTTTGATTCGTTTTAATTTAATTAATGATCTTAAAAACTGGCGACCATCTTGAAAACCTCCCATAGAAATATTAGACCATTATTAGACATAATTGTCTATTATTTCTATGGTCCATCCACTTTACTTTTCCACCGCGACTGTAAATTCAGGGCTGGCGCTAAGGGGGGGGGGGGGGTTATAACACCCTCTCCAGTCATCAGGTAGTCGGTAAAATATCGAATCTCAGTCGAAAAACATGGATTAGGATGGGAAGGAAAAAAATTCGCAGCACATAAAATTCGTCAAATTATTTTGTCGGACATATTAACTGACAAATGTGAATTCCCTACTCACCAAAGGGGTGTGGCCCCAAGGGTGGGTAGTAGCGAAGTAGTTGTAGTTCGCTACTGTAGCGAACTACAATTTTCAAGTAGCCAGTAGTTTTTGACTACTTTTTTAAAACAGTAGTTGTAGTTATAGCGAACTACATTTTGCCTAAAGGTAGCCAAGTAGTTGACTACATTTCAAACAGCGAATCGCTATTCGCTACTTTTTAAAATTGTTAGCAACTTGATAGAATAGCATGATATTGAGACACGGTTTGTTTAAAATCAATACTCAATAGTCAATTTGCACTCCTGAACACTGTAGTGCTTACAAAAATGTTGCTTTGTGTTTACTGTTGCTACTCGTAAGTCGATTTGTTATAGATTACATTACAGCTTGAGTTAGTACTTAGTAGATGCTCCAAATATAGTAAAACTAAAAAATATAGTGTAGCAAAATAGCGAAATAGTTCGCTACATATTTTAAGCAGTAGATGTAGTCAGAAGCGAACTACCTTTCTTCAAAAGTAGCAGTAGTTGTAGCCGACTACATATTTTTGAAGTAGCTGTAGTTATAGCGAACTACAACAATTTTGTAGTCAACCCATGCACCCTTGGTGGGCCCCATGTGCCAGAGTTCCTCAGCCATATCCAGAATACGGGTATCATTACTTCGGCAAATACATATACACCCCCTGCATGCTTAAACCACATATAGATGTGAAAGAGAGAGCATACTTAAAGCTAGCCGGACGTTAGACGCTGATGAAGAGATAAAAACAGTTCAGTGACACTTTCGTTGTCACTGGAGACCAGTGCTTCTTGAAGAAATATGTTGACCTCTAGCTTGAAGTGTCTTAAGATCAGCAAAGAGGAAAGGAAAACGTATATATAGGTTTTTGATTCTTCACCTAATCATGATTCAGTAGCGATTGATACACCGGGTGGAAAGCGTAATTTAAAAATCGTTGTATTGTTCACAACATCTTCAGAGCAATTAAACTTATTTACAAGCGTGTATTATTTATATATATATATATATATATATATATATATATATATATATATATATATATATATATATATATATATATATATATATATATATATATACTAATTATGATCTTAAAATTTTATTAATCGCTACACAGTGTTTCACGCTTTCAAAGCGATCTTCAGGCGATACTACTCTAAATAGTTTGCTTGCGCCATTGGCGCAAGGCGAATGGCGCAATGGCGAATGGCGCAAGCAAACTATTTAGAGTAGTATCGCCTGAAGATCGCTTTGAAAGCGTGAAACACTGTGTAGCGATTAATAAAATTTTAAGATCATAATTAGTATATTTTGCTCTATCAATTAAATTTGTTATTGAGCACTCTTTTTGTACAACGGACAACGATTTATTATTGTATATATATATATATATATATATATATATATATATATATATATATATATATATATATATATATATATATATATATATATATATATATATATATATATATATATATATATATATATATATATATATATATATATATATATTTCAAACGGTTACAGTATTCAAATAAGCGAATAAGAGGAAGGATGAAAAACAACCTGTCATTAGTAAATTAAAAATATAATGGTTTATAGTAATTAGAGATCTAGCAAAGCATTAGAATAGGTCAAGAGGAGTTGACCTAATGTTGGCATTTAAAGTAGGATTAAGCTTGGATATGAAAAGGCTTTCGCGAATAAGCAAATCTGCTTCAGAACTAGCAGTGGAAAGGATTTTAAAATCAGAGGGTGAAATTTGATGTTTAGTGGTATGGATATGAGTGAGTATGCCTGACATGGTTGAAGCAGAACGTTTCTTTCCAGTCAAAGGTGAAACACCCATGTGCTCAGAGATACGCGTGTGTATGTGTCGGTATATATATATATATATATATATATATATATATATATATATATATATATATACGCTTGTATATATGTTTAATTGCTCTGAAGATGTTGTGAACAATACAACGAAACGTTAGCCAATAAATTTTATATTTTGTTATGTCTTGTCTGAAAGTCATTTGCTGGGCTTTAATTTTCATTTTTAAATTAATCATGATTCCTTCACCTACTGTTTGTCTCTGCATGTTGCTGTGCCATTTGCCAGCATGAAGGAAGGCTAATTGAAAACTACTAATTTACTTGATTAATGCTAAATAATGTCTAATGATTTGTCTATTCTAATTCTGGAAAAAGAGGTTTGGGTTACTGAGAGTGGGATTGACAAAAACAAAAATGCGAATGGAAACCCATGCATATACCATTATAAGAATAGTTGTAGTTTGATATTTCAGAGTTTAAATAACTTCAAGGAAAGTTGCTATAAATGTCCTGGAACACTGTATTTCAATTCTGCCGTTTTCTTCAATGCATAGTCAATGACGCCATGTATATTTATATAAACTTCAAGTTATTTATAAAGAGGACTATTGAAAACAGAATATTGTGTTGTAATAGTCAACACATAGGTGGAACATATTGGGAGGGATTCAACTACCTGAAAGGTACAAGTAAAACCTCGACGTTTCGAGCGAAGTTAATTGGTTAGGAAGTTACTTACGCGGGCTTTACCTTTAAACTGCAGGTGAACTCAGAGGCCGCGGAACCGGGGGGCATTGGGGGCAGGTGTCCCCCCACTTTTTGTGCAAGGAGAAAATGTCCCCTTTCATGTGGAATAAAAGTGCCCTTTTTTCCAGCAATTTAAAGAGGATCGAATTATAAATGCCCCTTTTGAGCTAAGAAGTCTACAAATGCCCTGTCTTATTGTTATGCACGTAAACAAGACTGGATGAACTGGACTTAAGTAATTATTACTAAAGACTTTGTTATAAAAATTTTGAATGAAATTGCATTATTGGCAATTTTGAATGAAATTGCATTAATCAATAAAAAAAATTAAATTTGTGATTAATGTGTTCATGTTCAGTTTAGGACGCAGGGCTAGCTAGTAGAGAATACGAAAACATCCGAGGCTGAAAATTACATGCGTCCATGACCGACGACCCTGCTCCCTGCGACTGTTACGAGAAATATATAAATATCCCATTGTGCAATTTTAGTTATGATATAGCTGGTTCAGGCTCTGAGGCTCATTCTCATTTCAGAAATACCCAAACACTAACATCAGTAGAATAACACCAGGAAATACTGTTGTCTTCCCCTTTACAATTTGAGGTTTTTCAGATCTTTTACGATTTATCACATAATTTGATTTAGATCAGCTGTTGGATCTTAACTGTGGTTGGATCGAATTACCATGCTTAACAGCACTGCCAGCAGGGTATTGGGGAATTTCCCTAAAAATGTACATGACACACTACTATAAACACATCCCCGTCTTGTTGTAACGTCTTGTTGTAACGTAACCTCGAGATCGTACACACTATACATACCTACATCAACAGGTGAATTTGAAATATTTATTACTTTTCTATAAACTTAAATATCCTCTATTTTGTATCGCGAAAATAAGCTTTAAATCTCTATACAATTAAAATGCTCAAATGTCAATGAGTATTAAAAAATATGAACAATGAATACGTCGCATATTAACATCAGTAGATACATATTAAAACTGTACACTATTGTATGGCCATGGCATGGGCATGGCTCTTCTAGTCCAGATAATGTTTTGATACGTTCACTGCACGAATATAATATAGCTACAATGATACAATCTACGTTTTTATTAATACACAGGTCACAGTGTAAAATTTGAGACGTCGGCTAATTTTTATGCAAACGATAACTGAATGCATGTCTGTGAAATATGAACACTATTGTAGAGATTATATTCTATAAACATATTTATAAAATTACAACGATATAAATTTTACAGTCATTTGCATTGTTCAGTAAACTTCAGTCACCTGCTTAGGAACATAGTTTGCGTTTGCCCAGTGAAAGCTATCAAGATTTCGACTTTGTAGCATTTGCTTCAGTTGCTTGCTGGCTAGTTGTGGATATGAGAACATATTCTGCCCCTTCCATTGCCATTGGCGGTCCAATGTGTTTGCTACAACGCCGTTTGTGTAAACGGGATTGAGTTGCAAATTCGAAACAGGAAGTTGGTATCTAACTGGCAATGGTGTACAACTGATATCCGTAGTTGTTTTATAAAGCGACACGACGTTTGAGCTGTGACCAATACGGTACGACACATCTCCAGGATCAATCCACAATGCTAGTCCAAAACGGAACGCCAAAAGGAAAATGTCTTTCGATATTTCGCTGACTTCAGCAGCTTTTACTAGCATCGGGTCGACAACTCTCGTGTCTTTGTCTATATTCACACAACGAAAGCCGTTCCCTTTCATCGGTTTATCTGGATACCAGTGATTCGTGAATTTGTGGACGATCAATTTCTTTAAAACTGTTTTATAGGCCTCTAACTGTCCTTGGGTTAACACTGTGCCACTCGCCGCACGAATGTTCGAACACAAGAACTCACAAGCACAATTAATTTCCTCTTTCATTATGGTTTTATACTGTGGTCGGCAGTCGATTTAAAATGTTATCTAAATCTTGGCGTGTCTTTTTATACACTCAGTAGCAGGTTTCTGAAGGACTGTAGAACCCGTTTCCTGTAAGATCCAGCTCGAACCTTCTTTATACTTCTTCGCTGAAGCAATACGATATAACCTGATGTAACATACGTACGCCCAAATAAAATATTATTGTGTAAACTACGTATTACACAGCTGGCTTGCCAAAAATAGCAATTAGCATAACCGTGAGCCAATCAGAACGCAATTTTAACCCTCAAACGTGTCATATTGCCAGGTGACAACAGCCAAGCCCTCTCAAAGACAGCTTACGTGGGCAGATGATCAAAACAAAGTACACGGATGTGACGTTTCTGATATTTTAAAATGAGTTAATTTTTAGTCAATAGTTGTGTGAATCGCCAACAATTTTGTCCAATGGTTTTCCTAAATTGTAATTAGTGTGTGGCATAGTTGGATAAAGTGCAGGGGAATTTACCATTGTGGTTTCTATAATAATTAATTAGTTCTATCGAATTGAAATTTGTGCTATGTTAATGTTGTTGCTAGGCAGAAGGAAGTGATATGCAATTATTTAACTAGTATACTCAGCCTTGTTTTCAGTGCCTCTGGGAACAAAATAGGAACGTTGTCACGAGTTGCGCATGCGGTGTGATACGTACGATTTATATCGTACATGCATGCATGTCATCATGGGTAATATCGATGTCTAGCCTCCTGAGATGACTGTGGACGAACCTATGATATGTCGATATTTCAATCATGTTGCACAAATGTGGCTATGGAACCATAGTTCCGTGTACCGTATACGAAGTCGTATAGTGGTCTTAATTAATAACGGCTTATTGACCGAGCGTGAGGTCTGTACTGTGAAATATCAGACCGAGAATACATACTAAATGTATAATAAATTAATCATAATGCAGTACACTGAATTATTTTAATTTCAAACTGGCCAGGGCATTTAATTAATAAAGTACCAATACCCGAAGCTAATGATATTATTTCGTAAAGGATTCTTCAAATGAAAACTAAAATTATTTCGTAAAGGCCTCTTCAGTCAAACGCATAGGATACTGATTCTAAATATATAAGTTATTTTAATTTGGCTGAGAAAATCGAACGATAAGTAATTAATCAAGAACAAATCTTTAGCAGATTCACAAACGTTCTCGTTACAAAACCACACTACTCACTAGCCACGGTGTCACCATTACGTCGACTCACATGATCGTTAATCTGTAGTAATCGTTGCCATAATATTATTACTTCAAACTATATTTTGTCCAACGCTATCACGCAAAAAATTTAGCAATATTTCATGAAATTCGTCAGGTTTATTGATATAACAAAAACGTCCTGCCTTTTTAATAACTTTCTCTGTAGTATGAGGCACATACATCTTTAGTGCATTTGATGATGTCACACCCAGTGAGGTATCTCTTGAGCCTCGGAGGATCAAGGTTGGTGGGAAATGTTTCATGTTTTTCCCCAGTATTCTGTCCGTGCCTTCCACAGCAATAGAAATAAACCCACTTACTGCTTTAGGATCTCTTAAAGAAGCAATATAAGGCAGGCTGTAGCGTCCACTTGCTGAAGGAGACACAATCACCGGTGATAGAAGACCTACTTTACGGATGAAATTTTCCAAAACTTTTGCTCTTTTCTTATCTGATTGCAAATCATTGATTTTATATGTTGACTTCCCAGAACCTGGTAAATCCATAGCGATCACGTGATATCCATGCTTAGCCAATATATCCATGGTTTTTAAACTCGTCCAATTTGCAGATGTAAACTCTCGTCCGTGTAATAATAGAACATTTAGTTTAGATGACTTTATTGGCTTGATTTCACGGTAGAATATTTCACCCTGTTTCCAAGACACTTTTAACGGCTTTATCACAGGTATAGGCGGCTTTGTCACAATCACAGCGGTTGGTTTTATAATTGCCTTTGTAGTAAACGTACGGATATGAGGAGCCTCATTGCGAAGTAAAATTAGCTCGTAGTTGTGCGACTTTGGGTATACATTTGGCTTCACTCTTCTCTTGGTCGATAAACTTTCAAACATTTTGAAAGCAGTCAGACCAAACGCTATTATAAAGATAAAAAATAGTGTCCATTTTGTTCCGTTATTCATTCTTCGCATTTGTAATGGTCAACTGATGGATAATTAGCAATATGTATGCCTTGCTAAACAAAGACCTTTGTGTGAAACTTTATTCCCAAGTTTGATTGAGAAAATGACACGTTTAACAGTATATACTTAGTCTAACAAAAACTATTTTCAGGTATTACATGCCAATCTTTTAGAGAGAGTCTTTGCGCTCAAAACGCTTGCGCGAAAGCTTACGAACGATGGCTTTCGCAACTGAGAAGCATAATGTAAAGGTTTCAACTCTTCGTATGTACACGCGTATCGTTCACGTTTGATAGAACACTCATTCACAGTGAATTTTAGGCCTGTTTTATACGTCGAATTTTGGTCGCGTCGAATGCAATTCAAACAATAGATAATGAGGCCTTAAGGCTAGTTTCCACTAAAGGCTAATTTCCACTCAGGAAAATTATATGAAAGTAAATTTTTCTTTGTCTTGTGAGCTCTGGGTTGGAACTAATGACTTTAACTGACACAACAAACTGAGAAAAATTTTCTTGTCCGTTCCAATCCACGGATAATTTTCCTGAGTGGAAATTAGCCTTTACACTTGCAATTTTTGTTGCTATTTCTAGAGCGATTTTCTTCTTCTGATGGATGTGAAGGAGTGGATGAGTTATAAATGCTCAGATGAAGGATCATGTACTCAGAACATTCATAACTCATCTATACTCGTTCTCATCCATCAGAAGACAAAAATCGCACTAGAAATCGCAGCAAAAATTGCAAGTGTTAACGGGCCTTTAGATACTGACAGCGCAGGAAATCAGCGCACCAATTTATTAGACAAGGACGAACGTCGAGTGCTTGCACTGCTTTTTAATACGAATTTGATTATGATTGATTCTGTCAAACGCCTTGGAAAAGTCTATCATACGTATCACTGAGCCGATGGAATCGGTAGCTGCTAACCAATGGTGAATCATATATGAATAAGAGCAAGTGTGGTCGAGCACCTTCATGTTTCCGTGTAGGTAGCGATCAATATGAGGTACGATCTGTTCAAATACCCACTTGAAGACGAAGCCTTCGAGGATTTTACTGATTGCATATAGGAGTTAATGAAACTGGTTGGAGATCATCATCCAAGGCATTTTTTAATACCATGGACTGGTGGGGCAATTGCCCCACTGGGCCCCTTCCTCTGCCGCACCACTGAAGAAAAAATATAGCCTATTGCCCCACACCCAGTGCCCCAGGACCTGCATTGAGTAAATGAGTTTAACATTGAAAAGAAGTTTAAAAACAAAATTTGTTGGCGAGCATACTTAAACTTATGTTGTGTTTGAACGTTTAGCGTGCAATTTATTACAAATTTCACCATTAAAACTTTGTTTTGAGAAGCTGAGATTTTTTTAAAATATGTACTCAGAATGCAGGAAATTCTATTTCAGAGACCCAAATTTTAAAAATTTCCTGGGGGGATGCCCCAGACCTCCTAGTTAACTCGTGCCTGGGGTAGTACTCAGCTTACACCTCCGGAAATCGCATACTATCCTGGGGAGAGGGCCAAAGAAAGTGGGCCTTTTGGCAATTTTGCCCCACCACTGAAGAATCCTTAAAAAATGCACTGTCATCATCTGTAACGTGAACGGTATTTTTCTTGAAAATCGGTAAAACATTGGCCAAGTTTCCACAGAGGAAGAACTTTACCTTACCACGAACTTTACCACGAATTCAGAAGAGTTGATGCTACTGGGGAGCAAAGAGTGTTAGCGTTAGATTTACAGTCAAATCCGGTGTTCCATTGCGGGCAACATTGCAATATCGTCACGCAATATTGCAATATTGGTCAGCTGATTGCTGTAGCAAATTGCAACCGTCGCGAGCAAATTGCAATTTTTCGTGTTGACATGTCAAAAGGTTGCGCCCAAATGTCAGTGCCAAGCATTTGATTGGCTTGTTTTGTACTAGTAGCCAATCAGGCTTTATTTACAAACTTGCTTCCGAATCATATTATGAACATTTGAATTTTGCAGTTGACGGTTTAAAACTGTTACTGTGTGTAAAAATTGCAATTTGTTCGCGTCGGTTGCAATTTGCTAGAGCAATCAGCAGATCAATATTGCAATATTACATGACATTTTCCCGCAACGGAACACCGGGTTTGACTGTAAACAGTATATCTGGAGACTACATTCATGAAAACTCCATGTTTTTCCTTCAATTGCGCATTGGCGCGGTATAAAGGTGTCCAGTTAACTCTTGATAAGGATCGAGCAAGTGACTAAAGATCCAGTAAGTGATTGTTTTTCTGATGGACGGCATACTGGCCGTTTTAAGGTTCTGGTAATTGGAAAACTTTCTGGATTTTTGACAGTTGTTTAAAGAAGGATACATGAGACTGGAGGAAGAATTTTAACTTTGTCATAAAAGTGATGAATATATCTGATCAAGCGTGTGGGTGGACCCGTGTTCGGAAATGAAGAAGTTTCTTCAACTTAAAAATGACGTTCACATGCAGGCTACCAGGATTGAATTGATTAAAATCTCCGAGCAAAATAATTCCAGAGTTTGGATAAGTGTTTTATGGCTTTGTCAATTAGGTTTTCGTATATATACATGATTTCGCAGCAAGTAATCAACGTTTCCAGGGGGATGGTAAATTGTATAGCTACTATATAATATAGTTGATTCCTCTTAAGTAAAAACCTTTGAGTTTCGAAGTTTGGGTCGTCAAGGTTTTGTAAATGGAAAAATCTAATATTGTTTGCCAAAAATGTACATAGCCTCCCACCACGATGATTATCAGGACCATCCTTACGAACATGTACGTAGCCTGGCATATCGCAATAAGGTCATCCGAGATTTTCGATGTGAGTCATGATTCAGTTATTACCAAAATATCATATTTGTTGGCTAAAACGACTCCCTGAATTTTGTCAAGCTTGTTGACCATAGATCTCGCATTACTAAGAATGAATTTTGGGAACGAATATGATAGTTTCGAATGCGTAGGAATCGAAATTAATTGGCGATCACGTCGACCATAATATATTGATCTCGTGTCTTTACTCTTTCGAGACGTTATTAGATAGGAGCTCATCCATTTCATGAGAAGACGCTAATAAACTACACTTTAGTATACGCTTTAATAAGTTCTCACTTGAGAATGATGAGAAATTATAACAACAACAACAACAACAACAACAACAACAACAACAACAACAACAACAACAACAACAACAACAACAACAACAACAACAACAAAGCTTGGCGTCCAGGCCTCTTATGGTGAGAGCAAACTGAGCTATAAATGTTAGTGGATGTTTTATATTATGCACTATCTCCCCCCAAGTCTTTAGTAAGCGTTTATAACCGCAAATGTTGATAAAGACTGAAGAATATAAATTTCAAAATATAAAAGTGTCATGTCTATCTGTTTGGGCAGATATTGTCACTCTAGGTAACCCTTCTTGTTATGATCTTGCAATCTTCGTAGTGCAAATGGTAGTTTTTTGGGTTTGGGAAGGGTAGGTGTTGGTGTTTCGATCAAGTTAGGTGAGGGTGGTGTTGCAGTGGGGTCGTCTGGGTGGTCGAGTGTGGTGGTTTGATATGGGATGACTATCAGGTTGTCTTGGTGGGGTAACTGGTTGTTGGGTATGAATGGGTTGTGGGCGAATATTGGGCCTTGTGGAAGGCACGGGTGAGGGTGGGGTGATCCTGGTTTCGGGTGGGCATGGTGGCTTCACAAGGACTTGAAGGTCTTTCGTGATGGTTCGCAGTGGGTTTTTTCTTTGTACGGGTTGGTATTTCCTACGGAACTTACGGTTCTGCCGGAGCCGTCAACGCGTATGACATATTGATCAAATTGGCGTACTTCTATCACGAGACTTGTCTTGTCCCATTTGGTGGGATGTGTGCCAGTTTGGTTTTGGATCCTAACGTGATTCCCAACGATGAGGGGTGGGAGGCGCTTTGTGTGTTCGTCCATCTTTCTGCTGCTATCATATGTCTGTTCCGGAGTGCTTCTTCTCTGGCAGCCAGGGTGTCTCGCCAGGTGGGGTGGGGTCTGTAACGACCCGGGAGTACAGGAATGAAGTCCCTGATTGGACGGCCAAAATATGCATTGAGCTGGGGATAACTTGGCATCAGGGTCGGGTGTGTTCCTGTATTGAAGAATCGCGCGCTGTATGGCATTGGTGTCCAGGTCGCCATTGGCGCTGGTGTTGTTTGTGATAAGTCGTTTGACAGTTTTCACAACGACTTCTGCATGGCAGTTTGAATGTGGGTATGCGTGTGGCTGCAGCAGTAAATTCGGGATCCCCATCGGATGCGCGTTCGTCTGGTATGCCAAATGTGGTGAAAGTGCGTCGTAGGCAATTAATGAGGCCCTTAGAACCTTCTTATGCGCGTTCGATTATGGGCCAGTTGGAGTATCTATCGACCACAACGAGATAGTTTATGCCCTTGTAGTGGAAGAAGTCAGTGCAGATGTACTGGAACGGGTATTCTGGTTGCACTGGTGGAGTTGGGGGGGGGAGGCAATTGGTTGTGATGGCGCCATACGGTTACAGTGGTTGCAGTTCAGTCGTACGGCTTTTATGGCAGGGGTGATGCCTGGCCTAGAAGATGGATGCTTCGGCACGTGCGATCATGGAAGTTACTCTTTGGTGTGCGGAGTGCAACGTAGCAAGGATCAGTTTCACGGAGTAGCGGTGGGATCACTACACGATCTTTGTAGAGAATGACACCGTCCATTGTGTATAGGTTTTCGCGAAACTGGAAGTATTCATGGAGTTCTCTGGGTAATTCGTGGCGGAGGTCAGAGAAACCTGATGTGTACCATCCTGAATCTGTATCTTAAGGTTGTCTCCTTTAGGTTGCGGAGTCGAGCATTTGAGATTTCGTCGAGGGAACGATCGCCAAATAACTTGAGTAGGGGCTTGTGACCCACGGCAATGATCAGATCCTCGCAGCCAAGGGTGAAGAATCGTGCTTTGTACGTCGAGGGCATCCGCCACAGCAAGGGCCTCGCCTTCCACTGGGGCGTATCGGGCTTCAGCTTCGTGGGTGAAATGACTGCCGACGAGGGTGGTTTTCCAGACAACAGAAAGGGTCGGTGGATGTGCATTAACAGTGCTTTTGTAAGAGCCAGAAACCGATGCCACTCTTCGACCAGTCTGTAGCCAGGCATGGTGGTTTAGATTTGTCGAAAATACGGACGCCTTCTTCAATTTCGGTAACAATGACTGTCTTCGACTCGTTGAATAAGTTGTTCAGTTCCTCGTTCCAGATGAAGGGTGTACCGGGCTTCAGGGCGGGTCGATGCGGCAAAAGCATATGATACTTGGTTGATAAGACCAAACCAAGATCGTATGTCCGTGATCTTAGTTGGTGTTGGGAAGTTACGGATTGCATCCAGGTATCGTGCGCACGGCCGGACATTGGTGAGAGTGATCTCGAAGCCCGCGAATTCAACGTTGTCTTGGCCAAACACAATTTTTCAGGATTTAGGATAATTCCATGACGCCCACATATATCGAGCCATTTAACTGCTTGGTGAAAGCTGGCGGTCAAGTTGTCTGCCCAAAGGAGTGTATCACCAATAACTTTGGTCTTGTCAGGTATGTGCGAGACTATCTCGTCAAAGCATCTAGAGTACCCATCGCCAGATGCAATATACCCTTGTGGTGCAGTTTTGTATCGGTAGCGTCCGCAAGGGGTGATAATATCGATATCCGTTCCAGCAATCGAAAACACATTTCTTTTTGCCACTGGGAATGGAGCGCACTTGGTGAAACGGACTTTGGGTGTGGTGGGTCTCTCTAGTAGCGTGGAGGTTAAGTGCCTGGAAATCAACCGTGCATCTGGGTTTGCCGTTTTTCTTCGCACACAGTACCATGCGGTGGCACCAAGACACTGGCTCGCCGACAGGGACGGATTCTAGGACACCTAACACGACATCTTGGTCAAGGCCGGTCTCAACATCTGATTGCCAGTGTAGTGGGACTGGGATTGGTGTGTGGTGGGCTTTCGGTTCAGCATTGGGGTATATCATCAAGCGCATTTGTTCACCATGCATTAATGGCAAGGGTTGGTGTTCACAAGTGTTGAACATACTCGAATGGTAATAATCTAGGAGCCAGTTTTCCAAGCGTGCACGGTTGGCTTCTGTAGCTGGGAGTGGCAGCTGGTATAATAAATCTTTCAATTTATTAGTTTATTTGTCAGAAATCGACTACAATAACAACAGAACAACCTTAAAACTCGCAAAAAAACGTTCGCAGTTCGTTCGTTCTAAAATCATACGAGTCCTGTTTCTATGGCAACCGTCTCCTGATTGGCCAGCATATAATGCCCAATCAACATAAATTAATATAAATTAAAATGTTTAATACAGCTGAGTAGATTTTGGTGGTGGTAACTGGCGACGTGGGCAATTGCATGGTATAGTAGTGTGGTTCTGTGCTGTTGAGATGGGGGTTTGCTGGGGTAGACTGATCGTTCTTAACTGGTCAGCGGCTTCACCGACGGTGGGGAAGCTCTCCGTGATGAGACCTAGTTCTGTGCAAGCCTCTCAACTCAGGAAGATCTTGTTAGAATCGTTAGTGACATATGTTATCTGGCGAGTTTCGAGGACCTTTCCGGATTTTGAGGGGCCAGAGAATCGTAGAATGACGGCACCCAGGATTTTGATGCCGTGGTTGTTGGCGGTGTACATGTGCATTATCACGGGAATGAGGTCACGTTTGCTGAGACCAAGGCGTTGGATGACCTGCATACTTGCGAGGCAGCTTTGGCAACCAGTGTCGGCCATGAAAGAAATTTGTGTCGGCTTCGGGTGGGTGGCGTTGAGTGTGAAACCGAGGGCTTGGTAATCATCTGGGTTGGCTGTGGCTGTTAACGTTAGGAAGGGTTGCGACTTGGATGGTTTGCGCACCCATTGGTCACTGAGATGATTATATAGGTGGTGATCCAAGGTGATGCATGGTGTGTTGGCGATTTTGGTGGGTTGAGCTGGTTGTGGTGCAAAGACTGTCGAATATTGCTCCTTCGGTTTCGATTTCTGTTTTCCGTTGAGGTGTAAGTGACCTTGTTTTACTGCGGCAAACAGTCGCAAAATGGTTTTGGCGTTGGCAGTGATCACATTTTTTTCCATAGGCTGAACATTTTTTCCATAGGCTGTTACTTTTTCTGATTTTCGGTGGTGCGTTCTTGCCATGACCACGCTTGCCACAATAATTGCAAATTTCATCCTTGTTTTCCTCTTTGCGGGTTTTCAAAGCTTCTTGTTTGTTTCGGTGGTACTGGCTGCGTGATGCGTTAATACCTTGGGTCTCGAGAAGGCGTCCAGCGGACCTTTTGCCGGCCTCTTTTGCTTCGACGAATTTGAACACCTGTTCCAATGTCATATTCTGATTTGTGTCTCCAAGTAAGTCCAACTGGATTTCGTTGTCGCAAGGCCTCGGGTGATGACGTCACGAATGATGTGTTCGGTGTAGTTGACATCAGTATTACAATTTTGGCATTTAACGTGGAATTTGCAGACCCTCCACCCCCAGTGCACATACTTTATGACCGTTCTCTAACGTCGGCCGTTTCGTATGTGCATTCAGGATACGGACATCGAAATTTTGGCATGTTTGCGTATTTGGGGATCACTCTGAGTGATTTTATAACAAACATACTTGCAGGGAGATGAGTCCGGGATTGGACGCACCGAGGGTGGCTGGAAGTTTCCCGAGCGAGGTGAGTTCGGGAAACTTCCAGCCACCCGAGGTGCGTCCAATCTCGGACTCACCGAACCTGCAAGTATGTCTGGTTTTTATCACATGCCATTTCGGTAAAATACTAAAAAGTACGGAAGAATTTTATACGCATTTACCTTTTAATGTATAATTTGGATAACGAACATTTTAGCCGCCAACATAGTACGCAAACAAACAAACTTAGGCTTAAATTAAAGCTAAAAAAATTCTCTACAATAATACCTTATTCTTGAAAAGAGAAAATGAACACATTCTGCGAAAACAATGCCAAGATTTATATAAACCTGCCCGTGTCGAACAAATTTCGGCGGCCATCTTTCTTCTCTTCCACTTTGAATACAGAATATTCCATTTTTATCAAACAAAATAAAAAAATAATAATTATATTTAGGGAGATTAGGTATGGCGCGTCATCGGTGTCAAAAATGTTATTCTATTTTAAGATAAGATTTTCATTTTCATATAACAATATAAATTTTGGATAACACACAATTGTTCATATAACGCTGTAAATTTTGGATAACACACGACTTTTCATATAACGCTATAAATTTCGGATAACACACGACTTTTCATATAACGCTATAAATTTCGGATAACACACGACTTTTCATATAACGCTATAAATTTCGGATAACACACGACTTTTCATATAACGCTATAAATTTCGGATAACACACGACTTTTCATATAACGCTATAAATTTCGGATAACACACGACTGTAAGCTCTTTGCGTAGCGATAGGGTAGACTGATTTCTTAAAGCTTACGGGGGGTTTTACTTGAGTAGCGTGAGGGTTTCGAACTTCGTCTTTGACGCAGATAGAGTAGATGAGTAGACGTATTACACGTATAGATTTCTTTAATTCGGTGTTCAAGTATAGCAACAATCAATAGACAATCAAACGAGTTCGAACTATAAGGAAAAATAGTGACTAAACTAAATACCGTGCAATAG